GTCACGAGGTTCGTCGGTTGAGCCACAAGACATTTTGTCAGTTGCGCCACGAGACAGTTTGTCGGTTGCGCCACGAGACAGTTTGTCGGTTGCGCCACGAGACAGTTTGTCGGTTGCGCCACGAGACAGTTTGTCAGGTGCGCCACGAGACAGTTTGTCGGTTGCGCCACGAGACAATGCTTCAGGTGCGCCACGAGACAGTTTGTAAGTGGCGCCACGAGACAATTTGTCATGTTGCGCCACGAGACAATGTTTCAGTTGCGCCACGAGCAACACTGCTTCAGGTGCGTACGAGACAATGTTCAGGTGCGCCACGAGACCGTTTGTCAGTGAGCCGACGAGACACTGTTTTTGCGCCACCGAGACAGAGTTTGGTCAGTTGCGCCACGAGACAATGGTTCCGGGTGGCGCCACGAGACAGTTTGTCAGTTGCGCCACGAGACAATGCTTCAGCGCCACGAGACAGTTTGTCAGTTGTCGCCCGAGTCAATGCTGTCAGTGCGCCACGAGATAGTTTGTCTGTTGCGCCACGAGACAATGCTTCAGGTGCGCCATGAGACAGTTTCTCAGTTTCGCCACGAGACAATGCTTCAGGTGCGCCACGAGACAGTTTGTCAGTGGCGCCACGAGACAATGCTTCAGGTGCGCGACGAGACAGTTTGTCAGTTGCGCCACGAGACAATGTTTCAGGTGCGCCACGAGACAATGCTTCAGGTGCGCCACGAGACAATGTTTCAGGTGCGCCACGAGACAATGCTTCAGGTGCGCCACGAGACAATGCTTCAGGTGCGCCACGAGACAATGCTTCAGGTGCGCCACGAGACCGTTTGTCAGGTGAGCCACGAGACACTGTTTCAGGTGCGCCACGAGACAGTTTGTCAGTTGCGCCACGAGACAATGGTTCAGGTGCGCCACGAGGCAGTTTGTCAGTTGCGCCACGAGACAATGCTTCAGGTGCGCCACGAGACAGTTTGTTAGTTGCGCCACGAGACAATGTTTCAGGTGTGCCACGAGACAATGCTTCAAGTTCGCCACGAGACAATGCTTCAGGTGCGCCACGAGACAGTTTGTCAGGTGAGCCACGAGACACTGTTTCAGGTGCGCCACGAGACAGTTTGTCAGGTGAGCCACGAGACAATGTTTCAGGTGCGCCACGAGACAGTTTGTCAGTTGCGCCACAAGACGGTTTGTCAGGTGCGCCACGAGACAATGTTTCAGGTGCGCCACGAGACAGTTTGTCAGTTGCGCCACAAGACGGTTTGTCAGGTGCGCCACGGGACAATATTTCAGGTGCGCCACGAGACAGTTTGTCAGGTGGGGCCCACGGATATAAAACAGGACTAGGAACACTGGTGTAGTTACGGAAAATACAGCACAGGCCGCGTCTGTCAAGTTACGTTATATAACCAAGAACTCCATGTCATATTCTATAAATGCTGTTAATGTATTACTTTTATCTTATTATTTCATCTTCTTTTTTGTGGATTGAAAAAAAAAAAAAAACGGATTTCATTTCGTCTAACTCGGTCACTCTATCTAAACAGCCACAATTCGACCCCCCCCCCCCCTTTTCCCACCGGTCCCCATGGTGTAGGCCGCTATAAAGTCGAATGGTTTAGGCGATGGATCAACATCATGGCTCACAAAGTAGTAACCCATAAGTGCTCCGTTCTACTTCTGACTCAAGTCTGAGTCCGAAGCATCTCAACTTAGTGCACAACTCTGTGGCACCGGCGAGGATCCTGAAATACGTTTTCTGTAGATTACTAACTCCAAATTTTCGCTCGGGTAATTAGGCAAATTTTTTCGATATCCAACTGTCAAGGGATTTTTTTTTACGTTCTACACACGGGCGTCCGATCTTACTACCCGGAGACCATGGGAAATAACTAAAAGTCGACGTGAAAAAAAAAAAAAATCCCAGCTCTCAAGTCGAAGTGAGCCGCCACATATTTCTGCTTAGTCATTTAATTAGATAAGTGTCTCCCTGAGTTATAGAGCTGGCATACTGTTTGTGATTGTTTTTAATTCTTCTTTTCGACTTCCTGTTTATTTGAAAAGGCTTTCTCAGTCATGTTGTAAAAAAAAAAAAAAGTAGAAAAAATAATGGATATATGTGCATCGCTTTGTCTATCAGAAACAACGCTCTAGCCATGCAAATCAGATTTTTTAATTTTATACAGTAGCATATGTCGCATTAGCCGAAAATGGTAGTTTCAAAACATCGGATTCACCAAATAAAGTGCAGCCTACATTTGTTTTATTCCCGTGTTTAGTTAGGTGTGATGTTTTATTCCCGTGTTTAGTTAGGTCTGATGTTTTATTCCCGTGTTTAGTTAGGTGTGATGTTTTATTCCCGTGTTTAGTTAGGTCTGATGTTTTTATTCCCTGTGTTTAGGTCTGTAGGGTCTGATGTTTTAATTCCCGTGTTTAGTTAGGTCTGATGTTTTATTCCCGTGTTTTTTTTAGGTGTGATGTTTTATTCCCGTGTTTAGTTAGGTCTTTGTTTTTTTTTTTTTTTTTTTTTTTTTTTTTTTTTTTTTTTTTTTTTTTTTTGTGTTTTATTTCCCGTTGTTTAGTTAGGTCTGATGTTTTATTCCCGTGTTTAGTTAGGTCTGATGTTTTATTCCCGTGTTTAGTTAGGTCTGATGTTTTATTCCCGTGTTTAGTTAGGTCTGATGTTTTATTCCCGTGTTTAGTTAGGTCTGTTGTGGACCATGGAACAATGTCCTCCGTTTTAGTGAGCCAGGATTAAAAACAAAATTAGGAAACACTGCACTGCATAAAGGACGAACTCTATAGCTATGCCAACGACCACTAGAGATCTTCGATATATTGCATTCACGAACAGAAGCACTGTGGTCGAAATCGAACCCGCAGTCTACAGAAAACGAAGCAACGGCTTAACCACTTGGTTAACTGATAGAGATATTAGGATGAGAAAGCAAAAGGCAGTATCGTTTTTATAGCACTAGGAAATATGTAGAAGTCAAAGGAAATTAAAACTAAAACTAGAAAAATGTAATGTTAAAGCCAAATCAATACACTTGTGTGGAGCGGAAACACGACCAACAATGACTAATAAACAAGGAACATTCGTTATGAGTTAGATTATCTTCACAGCACTGCGGACACAGCCATAGGTGCTCAGATTCCCCTCTCAACACATTCATCAGCGTCGTGCGGTTAATAGTACCAGTCCTATGTTGGTTAACAGACTTCGTGTGCGTCAAGTGTGCTTCTTATGATTGGCTGTGCCGATCTTTACTCCCAATTCGTGTATTCTTGAACATTCGTTAACAAGTGTATGCGTGGAACAGAGGAAATGAAATGATAATCTGAGCTTTGGTAGAAAATAAATAATTTGCACTGAGCATCTATGAATATGTCCGCCGTGCTGTGAAGATAATCTAAGTCATAACACCAGGACTTTTTGAGAAGTAATGTTTTTGAGTTGTCAGTTTAAATTCGTTTCTTCATTTTTAAATATATGCAGTAAAATGTCTGAAGGTGAATACAAAGACAGAAAGCGATGACGAGAAAAGAATATTTAGAGAATTAGGTCGTTGCTTTTTAAAAACGATGTTGTGATGTCTTGTTTACTTTTTTGATTCTGTTGAAGGCAGTTCCCAATATCCTGCACCTAGCATGAACTTGTCGGGCTCATGGGGATTTTCCGTTTTCTGACAACTCAATCCCCAAATATACAAATTAGCGGGAATTCTTCCCTGTCGCTATTTAGTATATTTATCATTCTTCTTTGTCCTACGAAACGACATGTTAACCAATGGTTATAATCAACAACAAAGAATGTTAACATATTTCTTCTCCATAACTGACAGCAAAAGAGATTAATGAAAGTCAAGAGCAGACTGGACATAACAATGCATAACTCAAGCATTATTAACAGGCTTTGGCAGAAAACCAATAAACAAAGTTTAAGGTTTGCAGAAGTCGTATCTTTTGTGTAGCAAAATACAGATGTGATTGACGAACCATTTCACAACGTCATAGAAGACAGTCAGGACTCTTCAACTTACGTATTCAGCAAAACGCCTTAGATCACTGATTAAGAAGACGAAAATTGCGGAAGTTCTACAACATCAGTCAGTGAAAGTCGACCCCTGTTTCTATTTTACTGTTATGAGAAGATTTAAGTTTCTAATTTAAAGATGGGATATAGTCAGCTATGAGGAAGAAACACTATCCCATTCTCTGGCCATCAGATTTGTTCTCAGAATGAAGTTTCTTTTTCATTTTTTGTAAATGAAGAATTCATAAATCCGATATAAGTAATTACAGTGTACAAAGACTTCCTGGCAGAGTCTTTTTTGGCGTAGGGGTTGAGCCTTTCGCTTTGATCTCTGAAGTCACGGGTTCTGTTTCCCGCTTCTTCAGTCGGTTTGTGAGTGTGAGTGTTTGGAAATTTCCGGGCGGTCTTTGCGGAAACTCCTGAGATCCCACAGCCGCTTCACGAGCGAGGAAGTAGTAGTCTTGTGGGATTGGCGTTACCTTAAGTTTAGCTTTTGTGGATTAATCTTCTTACCTTATACTCTTTTTCAGTGGAAGTAAACACCTGTTTATTTGTTGTTCCTGGTAGTATCTCCATATTGTGCAGTAGGCGATAGTCTTCTTTAACTGAAATTGTTAGTTACTGGCTAGTCTGTTGGTGCCTTACATTTGGGTCTTGTGATAATATTGCACTTGTCATTTTGTTTTTACCCATTAGTTTACCTGTTTGGGCAGTCGATGAAAGCCTTCTGTGAGAGACAGTTAATTGTGCACTATTATTGGGAACTGATTTATTGAAAAATGCTGTGTCTTCCTGGATTACAAGCGAAACATTATGAGAATATACTACTGGAAAAACCCGAGCGAGGGTCATTATTTTCCGTCTGGTAGAATGTGTACTGCCGATGTGTAGGATTTATGTGTGTGCAAAATGTGACTATACACCGGGTATCGTTGCCTGGTCAGCAAGGACGCAGATTGGTGTAACCATGGTAATGGGCACCCTTCGCGACTTGCAGCTGGCGCTTCAGGAAAAAATCGAGGAACTGCGACAGCGGGATGAGCTCATAGACGAGTTGGAGGGAGAACTTGACGAGAAGGATAGTCTTATCCAGGTAACTAACGGGGGGAGGGGGTTATCTAAACTTGGGAAGATTGTAACTAACAAAGCAAGGACGCAGATTGGGTTAACCATGACCTATGGCAAAACCTTCGCACTTGCAACTGGCGCTTCAGGAAAAAATCGAAAACTGGGGGAAATGTTAGCTAAAACATTGATGATATTCGCACACTAAAACTCGGGAGCATGGACAGAGTAGATATCATCAACGCCATACGCCTCTAAGTTAGTGGATAACTTAGAATCTCTGACACTTACAGGATTATTTGACATAGGTCAAAGCATCGTGAAGCAGGTCTATGCTGTCCTAGAGGCCGAGACTTCATAGCCAGTCCCTGCTTGGCCCGCTAGTTCAGTGTAATAGACCAGCGTGTGCGGCGACCGGGTGACAAACTCCTTGTGGTCCGAGTTCGCCCTCGGGGTAGACAGAAAAGCCACATATTTCCTAGAGCCAAAGGATTTACAACTCATGATGTCTGTATCACTACAAAAAATAACCAGTCCCTCTTGGGAGTGTTCAGTAGACATACATTGAAGCTTAATGCCTAATGTGAAGTCCCGTCGACAGTGATAACATAGACGCGCACAACCATACCTACATACCGACCAAATAAAATATATCCTTTGAAGGAGACAAACATAACACACACACAAATACACACACAAACACACACACAAACACCCACACACACACACGCACACACACAAAGTAAACAGAAGAGCCTAATGTTAAGCATACATCAAAGTCTTTACTAATATTAACGACATTTTGAAGTGAGCTTGTCTATCACAATGTAAAGATTAGAGCTTTTACTTAACACTTCGATGTGAAAATATAAATAGGGTGAATAGGGGGAAACACAAAAAGAATATTTCTTCTTCAAATATGCTGATTGGTGTCTTTCAATAACGATCACTGCAGAGGTTGCAAAGAGAACTGGACAAATACAGATCAGTCCTGCCTTCGGCGACGGTCAACAGTCCACTTGTACACCGAAAAGTTGTCGGACTCGGGACAGCTGGTCAGGGTTTAAATCCATCTGGTTCTAACCATCCGGCTAAACTGACTAATGGTGGCGGCGGTGGTAGTAGTGGTGGTGCGGTTGGAGGTAGTGGAGCAACGGGGGGTGCCGGAGTTCAAAGAGAGGAGAGGACTAAACGTGTTGCAATATCGGCGGAGCCTACAACGTTTAATTCGCAGCAACTGTCGCAGAGGAATAAGGTGTTTCCAAAGACTTACGCGTGAGTATCTCTGAGAGTTACTGCTTTATGTTGTCAGTGTCTTTGCTTGTTTTTGTCAGTCTTGATTATCTTAAAAGTGTGGCTCTGTATCTTAGAGGTGAGTGAAAGCGTTTCATAATCTTCAGTGAGTTAAAGCTAGATTTTTCTTCTGCAAAAAAGAAGACCGCTCAGGTTACTTTTAGACATTGTATGAGAATCACGCCATGGAAGAAGTGGTTTCATAAAGACAGCACTGGGTGCACAATCTCCATATTTGCTTGAAGACGTTTAAAAAATAATAAAAAAACCTAACTTATGAATTCGCTACGGTTTTATCTAAGGCAGACGGTCTTTCCCAGCAAGTGCATGGCTTAATCAGAATCCGCACGATATCAGTCCCTCCACAGTTTCGAAATAATCAAGTAACAGAAAGTATTGTGAACGGCACTCATAGAAAGAAGTAGAAAGATAGAAGAACACACTAGACAACATAAAAATCGAAAGCTATAGTTACCGTGCCGGGAATTGAACCTGTCACCTCCAGACGGCGTCTGCGCCTCGCCATGAATACAAGTGCACTAAGATACATGGTCAACTAGGAACCCCCCCCCCCCCCCCCAAAAAAAAAAAAAAGGTGTCTTATTGGCCATGTCTATCGGACAGCTTGAAAACAACGACTATGGAATACGGACAGAATTCATTTCAACCCATAGAAATGGCACCATAGGTTACAGAAATTTATATTAACGAAGCAAATGTCGAATAACAATCACAGCAACAATTTACGAACACAGTAGACCTTATGCTTTGTCTAAAATATACAAATATTTAAGAAAGGTAATTGTGTGAAGCGTCAAGGGAATTGTGTATTATTTATGCCTATTTATGCGTCACTGCGGAGGGAATTATGGGGACAAGAAACACCATCGCAAAGGTGGCCTTTTACGAGATAGAGAAGACTCTCACCAATAAGAAGTCACCTGGGGTGAGAAACAGAGTGTTTAAGTGTTGTATAGAACCTGTGTTATTATGTGCAAGCGAAACAGGGACAGTAAGGAGGAGACAAGCTGAAAAACAAATATATATATATTTACTTGCGGCAGGCAGGTGGTTTCTGAGAAGAATTCACAGAATATCAAAGAAGGATAGAAAAGCAAACGAAGCCGTCCTCATCGAGAAGTAAATACAATTTGAAACAAAAGTACATCTGTAGATTATTTTCCGTGCTCGAAAGTGGCTTTAAAAATCTGTTCCCAAAAAAAAGTTATCAAGGCACAATTTTTTTTTTTGGGTCTTGAAGTGTCAAGCGCTGAAAAACTTATCGTTCTCATCTCGAATACAGCATTTGTTTTTCTGAATCGGTTCAGAAATGTTTTTCTGACTTCAGTACGGCATTCCGAAGTATGTGCAGAATTTCCCCAACAACAAACTGAAGTATCAGATGAAGTCTGGGGGACATAAAGGTGGCCTTTTGTTGGAACACGGTTCATGTGAAGCATTGCTTAGGAAAACTAAAAAGAAGGTTTGCAGTACGAGATATATGTAATGACGCTAATAGAGCACGGAGGTATTTATAGAAGTGCTCGGGTTTCACACAGAGACAGATTTGTTGAGGCTCACCGTGGTATTGTTTGCTGAAGGGTGACGTGTTGTGTTGTAAATACGGAAACGTGTACTTGTGGTAATGTTACGGATGTGAGATTGCGTTGTTATATGTATACAGAGTCGAAGAAAAGGAAGCGAAGATGATAATGAGGAGAAGAAGCTGATAAAATGGGGGAAAAAAAAAAGAAGAAGAACAGAAATAGTAGAAGTAATAGTTTTAGTCCTTGTCATTGAGAGTTAAAAAAAAAAAAAGAATTCTTGCTTGCTACATACATCCAGTTTTAACATATGGCTGTGAATCCTGGACAATCGGTAGGCAGGCCAAACAATTTCTTGAGGCCTCGGAGATGTGGTTTTACAGACGAATGCTTAGAATACCTTGGACAGCCAAAAAGAGTAACCAAGAGGTATTGAAAGAGGCGGAAGCCCGAAGACAGACAACTTATCACAGACATCAGAAGGAGACAGTCATCATTTTTCGGCCATGTTATGAGAAGAGGGAAAATAGAACATGTTGTGACCACCGGAAAGATCTGTGGAAAGAGGGATAGAGGAAGACAGCGAGAGAAGATGCTTGACAGTCTTGTTGCATGGCAGGGAGGTGTGTCGGCACACGAAGTGATACATGCTGCAGAAGATCGCAGATTATGGAGAGGCATGATCGTCTACGCCAGTCGGCAAAGCACCTGATGATGATAAGTAGTATTAGTAGTAGTAGTTGCAGCAGCAGCAGCAGCAACAGCGGCAGCAGCAGCAACATCATTATCGACAGCCACCACTGCTGTGGCGGCAGAAGGAGAAGACAATTAATTCATAGGCTACATACACGTATCCTTATGACAAGATGTCCGATGTATGTTAAATATTGAATGCTGAATTGAAAAAGTCGACATTATAGGACTCGGGACACTTCTTTAAGCGCCCCGTCCTCATCCACAGCAGCAGGCAAAGAGTTCTAATTCCGATGGCATCAGTATGTCTGAATGTACATCCGTCTCCCCTTTTCTTTCAGTGTTGAGCGTCAGCCAGATCCCCTGGAGACTCCCCGCAGCGCCATTTTCTTCAGACATCTAGCTTGTCATACATCAGTTCACAACCCTCCCCCCCCTTCAAGTGGTGCAGAACCTGCCAATCTATATGGCAGCTCATTTCCCAACACACCGGCATAACCTGGATAAAATATGCAAAGGACCTATGAACTGACGCTTGCCACTCTTCACGATACGCTCTACCTTTCTCAACATGCTCTGTCAGTTAGTCAGCGATCTAAAAGGTTAGTTGCGTTTCCTTAACAGGACGTTGCAGAACCAATCCCAGCAGCCCCTGGCTGTTTTGTGGTTTTGCTAGGCAGATTTACGTCCAGTAGTTTGTCATTGCCTCTGAACGGTCGGCCCCCTGACACCACTGTCGAAACCAACGCAAGGCGCATGGCCCGCAGCTGGGATCGAACCCGGCACCCCGGCATTATGAAGCGTTCGCATCGACTTCGCCACAGTGCCGAGTCAGCGATAGTGTGTGAAAAAAAATTACATTCTCTCTCTCTCACATCCACACCCCCCCCCCACACACACACTCTCTCTTTCTCTCTCTTTCTCTCTCTTTCTCTCCCTCTCTAGCCAAATATCTGTCTCACATATAAGTTCCCCCACAATCCATTTTTAAATAATTGTTCACCCTGTCATGACAATTGTGAAATATTTCTTCGCTTCTGTGACAGGTGTTTATTGAACACTATTGTGTGTATGTATGTATGTGTGTTTGTTTTGTGTGTGTGCCTGTGTATGTGTGTGTATGTGTATGTGTGTTACTGGGTTCAGAACCTCACATCGTAAATCAACATCCTTTATAAATAAAATTTGAAAATGAATAAAATCCATAGCAACCGATTTTTACCAGCCGGAAAGTATGCAAACAGTTTCAAACAAAAAATACATCTATAGATTACTTTAGGTGATGTGTGCGTGATGTGTGTGTTTGAGTATGTGTTGTAGGGATGCCTGCTAGACATCCTACATAAGATGTGCTGCGTTCCACCCCCTCCTCCTCCCCCGGCCCCTCTCCCCATCCGTGGAACCTTCCTACAACCTCGTTTCAAACTCGAGAATCCCAGCTCTCGCCTTCACCTTGACTCAGCCCTCTTCCGCCTCAAATGACAGCGCACCTTTAACATTCTCCAAACTTCTTTCATCCTCGTCTGCCCGACCCCGGTCATGCATATAAACCCGGGCCATTCAAGTTCTGGACATATTTTACCTGTTAGCATTTATGCAGAGCTTGGCATTTATTGCGGTTTGCGATTAAGCATTTTAACTTGATACAGAGTCACCGCATTACTGAGAATGGCGTTTACAGTCTTCGGCGTTATTATGGCTCGTTTCGTCTTTTAGCCATGGCTATTGAGAAAATATAACTGCTCATTCCTCGTTCTAGGGGCACCCTCTCTAACAAATACTAAGAGACTCGACATGTGAGAACTTTGATGTTATCAAAACATACTAAAAATGCCCATGATGAAACGGGTTAACAAAATAGAAGTGAGTCGCAGTAGCTTGGGTGGGTAGCACGCTTGCCTCTATGTCCTGAGTTCAAATTCCATCATGGGGAGGGGAAATAAGTATGTTAACAAAAACCATTGAAATTCATAATGTGTATAAATTACCGCTCACTTTAGTCTGTGTCTAACGACTAACTACGTGCGATGGACAGGCTAATATAGTGAATGCTTTACGAGAAGTAAGACGTTCGCGAGAACCAAGTAATGACTGTGAATCTGAAATCATGACCAGACTGCAAAAACAACATGTTAAAAGAGGTGTGGCCAGACAAGAGCACTATGCAGGAAGCCAATGAAGAATAAGAAACCAACATAGGAACGGTGTTGTCAGCCGACACAAACAGGGGGAATTTATTGAGGATGGGATGCGAGCACTTGTGGACTGAATGATTTTATGTGCAGTAAGGATTTTCTCACTTAAGTATTAATGTCGGGAAGTCCAGTAGGCTGAAAGGTTGGGACAAGTAAGGATAATGACAAACAAATTGAGATACAAAAACTTCTTCGCCTTCACTACCTCTTTTACCGTTTCGGGTATCGAGGGAGATATATGGTTCTGCTTTTTGTTCTTATGGTCGCCTCGAACAAAGACAATTCTGCTGATGTAGACTTTCTTTGATGTTACTTTCCATCTTGTTCTTGGTCTACCTTGTGCTCTAAATCCTTTGCCTCGTGTGGTGTCCCTTGTATGGTATGACGTCACATGACATTCTATCCAGGTGGAAAGATCATTTTATTTGTTGTCTCTGTAGTAATTTAGAATTGGTTCTTTGCCGACGTATACTTCTATGATGTATATGACAGCATTCCTGATTTTGTATTTTCTGGTCACTCCTGCAGACTTCTCAGACATCTCATTTCATTGGGTCCTGACAATGGTAGCATATGGTGGTAATGAAAATGCTTTGTAGGAGATGTAAACAAGGTAGAGGTAAAAAAAACTGCAGACAGATCCTATTCAGGTAAACTTACAAACATCAACTGGACAGGAAAGGCGTGTCACAGAGATGAGTGGAAGGAGGGGATATCAGCAACAGTGAACCTTGACGGGTGGAAATGATACAGAAGAAGAAGAAGAAGAAGAAGAAGACGAAGAAGAAGAAGAAGAAGAAGAAGAAGAAGAAGAAGAAGACCAAGTGGACCACCGCTTAAAACAAATTAAAAACAATGTCCTAGTAAATAAAGGCCTTAGGGGTGATACTGACCGCATCAACTAGTGAATGATAGCATACAAAAAATATTAGGGTAGAAGCATATTCCCATGAAGCCTAAAACAGGAAACAATAGTTTTACTTTTACTTAGAAGATAAGGTCTGTTGCGTATCCTTTACAGGACGTCACAGAACCAATCCCAACAGCACTTGGCTGTTGTGAGGTTTTTCTAGGCAAATTTACGTCCAGTAGTTTGCCATTGCTCTCTGGACGGTCGGCTTTCTTGATACCACTGTCGAAACCAACGTAAGGCGCATGGCCCGCAGCTGGGATCGAACCCGGCATCCCGGCATTACGAAGCGTTCTAATCAACTTAGCCACAGAACCGACCACTTCGAAGATAGCAGAAGGGGAAAAAAATGACTCATAAACAATGCCTATCTCCGACAATAAAACGCAGTTTTTCAAATTGAATGAATCAAGAACTGGCATCACTGCACTTGAGACATTCCCACATGTGCACCGTCCCCTTTGTCAGTAGCCAACGTAGAGTTGACATACTTATAGTGCTGCCTGCAACCTGATAATATTCCCCCTTCCGTGTCAAATATCTGCCAGAACCTTAACTCACCCCCTCCCCTCCCCCCCCCCACACCGCCTCCCGTTGAATTAGTTTTTCAATGTATGGATTCTTTTTTCTCTTGCATGTCCATTTGATCCCAGAGAGTCTTCACCTGGTCCTCCACATCATAAAGTTGCTCACCGCCCAGTGCAGCGGCAGCTGCTAATCTATCAGCCGGCTTGTTACATTGCCACATGAATACCTGGGCGGAAAACCCACGGTAGGCTCTAGACAGTTTGAATCTATCTAATATAGCAAAGCTTTAACAGAAAACCAACGGTAGGCTCTAGACAGTTTAAATCTATCTAATATAGCAAAGCTTTAACAGAAAATCCACAGTGTGATCTAGACAGTTTAAATCTATCTAATATAGAAAAGCTTTAACAGAAAATCCACGGTATGCTCTTGGCAGTTTAAAGAGACAGCCGGCGTAATGCTGAACACATTACCCACAGAGTGCTGATGGTCTGTAAAAATATGGGACGCTCTGCCCATATGCCCGATGCGCCGAAAGGCGTGAAAAGGGAACTTTACTTTTTACTTACATTAAAAATACAGCAAAGCTTTAACAGAAAACCCACGGTATGCTCTTGACAGTTTGAAGCTATCTAATATAGCCAAGCTTAAAAAGAAAATGTGTTTTAAAAGCGAGACGAGCAACTCCAGCCTCGATGTGTATATCGCATCTACGATGCACTCTAATTTCAAAGGAATTATGCGAGCGTCGCGGAAATCACAATCTCCGTAGCGCCAACGATGAACCCCGAGATCTCCTAAATAACTACGACAGTGGACCGAACGAAATAGGAAATCGAACCAAAAACGTTAAGAGGCCGAGACACACGTCTTAACAACTTTGCTGCAAAAAAAAAAAAAGTTATCTTCCTTTCCTATGTAAACGTTATTTAATGCCTGGCTCAATCTGAACCAGCCGCACTAACCGGACAATGTCGTGTTAAATCATTCATTGGCAAATAATGGCGATGCAGATAAAATTGCTTACCTTGCATGAAACAGGAATATAGAAACTGGAAACCTTGTAGAAATTATTACCCTGTCAGTTGATATTGTTTTATTGCTAAAGTGTGCACAAGTCATAGATATCAGTTGTCAACCTACCCACACTAAACGACAAGTTAGTTCGTAACCAACACACGCACACACAGACACACACACACACCCACCCACCCACCCGCACGCACGCACGCACGCGCGCACACACATACACAGAGTTGGGAGAAGTCCCCCCCCCCCAGCCCCCTCCCTTATGTTTCTAGGAAGACCTCAAAGGAGGAGTGGGATTTAAGCTTTGTTTAAATGCACAATAATTATTAATTTTTATGTGTGCACTTCTAATATTGAGAGTGACCGCGTAGCCCCTTGCAAAGTATTTTGTGTGGGAAAAAAGGTGGAGGGAGGGGTGAAAATATAGTCGCTTCTACTCTGCCCCAAACATTATTGGTGGGGGGGGGGGGGGTGTTGACCAGTTATTTTTCCGCACCGGGTACCACCTGACCTTACAGTGCCGCTACCCTCAGCACGCAGGCAGACAGGGAGTAGACTATCGTCCTCAGTTAATAGACATGCCATATTTTAAAATTCACCCTTCGGTGTATTTATGGGGTTTGTGTACGTATTTGTAACTGCGTGTAAACATCAATGCATTCGGTGTTTTAAAGCGTTATACATGCAGTTGAAACCATGAATGCCATTTTAAAACTTGTTTTCTTTTACGTACCGTGTCTCCCCGAAAAAAAGACCTATTCTGACCCCTTCCTCCCCCCCCCCTCCTTATGTTCGGTATTCAGAAGGATGCATTTCTTTCGTCTGTGAAACACAAAATGGACGTAGCATTATAAAGTAAAGAAAATCATCATCAGTTCTGGTTATGCCTAGTGGCACATAGGGTTTCAGAGAGGACTTTCCATGCTTTGCTGTCCTGTGCAAACTTCAGTGCAGTTTTTCATGTCAGAGATGCCGATATTTAGGTCACTCTCCATCGTTCGTCTTCACGTTGTTTTTGGGCGCTGCTTCTTTCTCTTTCCCTCTGGTATCCATGTGAGAGCTGTTTCGGCAAAGTTTTTTAAAGTAACGAATATATATATATATATATATATATATATATATATATATATATATATATATATATATATATATATATATATATAATGTGAATTTGCTGTAATAACCGTATCCTTTAATGGTAATTTGCTGTAATAACCAGACAGGTTAATGGGAATTTGTTGTAATAACCAGACAGATTAATGGGAATTTGCTGCAATAACCGGACAGATTAATGGGAATTCGCTGTAATAACCGGATATATTAATGGGAAGTGGCTTTAATAACCGGATAGATTAATGGGAGTTTGCTGTAATAACCGGATATATTAATCGGATAAAAAATGCTGTTAATAAACGGACAGATCAATGGGAATTTGCTGTAATAACGGATAGATTAATAGGAATAACAGTTTAAGAAGATAGGGCGATGGCATTTTCGTCATAAAATTTATGTAACCTTTACAGGAGAATGCAGACCTAGCATCATTTCTTGTTTCTTTGTGATTTTACAAAACAATTCTACATATGCTACTTTTTGATTGCTAACTTAGCGGTCGGCAGTTGAATATCTTCGTTGAAGTCAGCGCAAAGCAGCATGCTGCCAAATAACCTGTGACTAGAACTGAACAGGGTATTTTAGAATTACGAAGCGCGTTCGCAACGCCTAAGCCACAGACTTCGACCGTCTTTCATTATGTCATGGACAAATATCAACAAATCTGTTGACATACATGAGAAATTTAGAGAAGTCTGATGACATATACAATTTATTTTGGCTCTGAATTCAATAACCTGGATGTGTTCAATCCGGGTCCAGAATAATGAGCTCGAGGGTCAGCTAACATTTGCATCAATACAAAAAAGGAGCCCGACACGCTAGCTAAGTTGGTTAAACCATCTGCACGGCGATCGGGTGACGAACTCCTTATGATCTGAGTTCGTGCTTAGGGTAGGCAGAAAAGCCACATATTTCCCAGTTTACAGTATCTATCATGGAATCAAGGCCGAAGAGTTGCTATATGCACAGTACCAAGTCAAAGGCTTCAACAACTCATGGTTTATAAATAAAAAAAATTCTCTCTCTCTCTCTCTCTCTCTCTCTCTCTCTCTCTCTCTCTCTCTCTCTATATATATATAATATATATATATATATATATATATATATATATATATATATATATATAAAAGAAACAGCACAAACAGAGCTGGTAGAGTAAATGCTGTGGGGCTCTAAAAGTGAACACTGTCGGAGTCGCCTACGCTAGCCTAGCTTGACAACCTGGGAATGAAGCTTGGACAAGCACTCGAGGACCTTTTCAGAGGCAAAAGAGAAGGTTTAAAAACAAATAAAAAACCTCTTTGGCACAATGAATATTTTGGATGGCAACTATAAGAGATACAGAGAACGTGTTGGAATGTTCAAAGTTTACCGGAAGAACAAGACATACCGAAACATAGAAATCAATTTATTAAACACAAACAATGACTCGGAAGCTTAAAAAAAGGGGCGAAATATGGGCGTATATGCAGTCAAACCTTAATGATCCTGTTTTTCATGAATAGATAAAACAACAAGAGGAATCCTAAGCCACACTCCTAAAGCTAGGAATCACGTAGAGAAAGAGCTGAAAGGAAAATGGAAAAAGCAGGAACAGGAACCGCTGGTGCGACAAACTGCTTCCGTAACATTTTTTTTAATATCCAGAAACCATGAGTTGTTAACTCTCTGACTCGGTACTATGGATATCGCAACCCTTAGGCCTTGATTCCATGATAAATATCGTATATATGGGAGAAATGTGGCTTTTCTACCTACCCCCGGGCGTGAACCCGGACCACAAGGAGTTCGTGACCCGGTCGCCGCGAAGTCAGGTTTAGTCAACTACGCTAGCGAATCGAGCTTTCATAACATATCTCGGTAAAACCTAATGATAATAACTCTAACGACAAAGACTCGGATTTCATATGCATATTAACCTTATTCCTGAAACAGTTCCTAAATGAAATTGATTAGCAAAAACTATGCAGCCGATCTTTTTGTCTAATTTTGTTTGTGATTTTCCAAGGTAGACATATCTTAGGTAGCCAGGTAAACATTGATTAAAACATTCGCATTCAGAGGACACTGAAAATTTGATACGTTAATTATTTTTTGTAAAGTTCCTTGGGTTAAATGCCTTCCTCAAAATTTATATTGTGTAAAATAGTGTGTGTCTGTTAATATTCTATGTTAACCAGACAGTTTGTTAATTTTCGACAGTCCATGCATATTCAATAATAATTTTACTTTGCATCGTTAACAATATTAGCTCAGAATTGGGTAACCTTCACCGTACTCCGGACACCTCCATAGGTACTCAGAATTGGGTAATCTTCACCGTACTCCGGACACCTCCATAGTTACTCAGAATTGGGTAATATTCACCGTACTCCGGACACCTCCATAGTTACTCAGAATTGGGTAATCTTCACCATACTCCGGACACCTCCATAGTTACTCAGATTTCCCCTTGAACTTATTCATCAGTGTTGTGTGGTTAATAGTGCCAGTCCTCTGCTTGAAAAAACAAGACTTGTGTACCTCCGGTGAGCCTCTGATGCTTGGCTGCCTTAATAAACTACTACGATACCCCCCCCCCCCCCCTTTTTTCTCCCCACCCTCCAAAAAAAATACACGAACTGAAACATTTGTCATCATTATGTTGTTCCATTTGGACGAGGTCCTCCATTCTGTTTTATGCTAAAAAAAAAAAAAAAATTATAAACCGGAGAAAACCCGTATCCTGGAATGTGTATGTGAACATAAAACCTATTACCATACCTCCCTAATTTTAATAACTTTTCTACAATATGTAGCTTTTTAAAAAACAAATCCTGGCTTGTTTGGGTAATAAATAAACATTTTCACTGCACAGGAAAATATCCAGATCAATTTACTTGAATGTTTCATTTGCCTAGCCGTCTGTTAAACTTTATGTATGTGCACCGAAGTTGATACATTGAAAAAACCAGCAGTAACATATTCAATGGTTACCGAGCTGGTAAGAAAGCTGGAGGTGTTATTCTTAAAGCTCTGTGAATTTATAGCAGATTCAACAAGTTTTGTCTTTTAAATGAAATAGTTTTGACTGATGAAATCTTACCTTTACACAAGAATTTGGCAGCTAAAAACACAATCTTGAACATACAAGCTATAAGAGTAGATAACCGTGTTCGATTGCTTTACATTTAAGCATTATGTTCGTCATCATCGTGATCATCATCATCATCATCATCATCATCATCATCATCATCATCATCATTATCATTATCATGATCATCATTATCATGATCATCATCTTCATCATCATCATCATGATAATTATCATCATGGTCATGATCATCATGATCATCATCATCATGATCATCACCATCATCATTATCATGATCGTCATCATCATCATCATCATCATGATCATTATCATCATGGTCATGATCATCATGATCATCATCATCATGATCATCATCATCATCATTATCATGATCGTCATCATCATCATCATCATCATCATAATGACCGTAGTCGCCGTTCCCGCCATCATCACCACTACCACACTGTTGATCTCACGAGCTCCAAGGAGACATGTTCTTTGCCGTTATGTTCTGTAGAGCGACGTTACAAGTGTGGGCGACAAATATTTTCCTTTGTCCACCTGTTTGTCTTATAAAAGTGGTTTTGTCTTTATTTGTATTTCTTTACATATCGGCGTGTTTCCATAATCTTTTTTTTTATGTTTCTTTTGTATTGCACTTATTAATTTACAACTTCTTCTTTCTTTTTTATTTCTACTTCTGCCTTTTGATTCACAGTGAAGCAAATGCTCCCCACCAAATGACGTCAATAATTCCTGTCGTTTTTGTTTTAATTACAAGAATTTCATCCCATGTCCTCTCTATGTTTTCAGCTTCACTTCCCGTTCCCTTCTACGTCGTTTTGTGTGGTATATTTTGTATTTCGTTTCATTCGGTAATTTCCAGGTGGAAAGTAATTCTAGTTAGATAATTCCCATATTTTGTCATAAGTAGCACATCTACTTTTAGGATACCACTGTGTGTTTAGAGTCGCACTGGTACAGTTATTTCCTGCTAAGACCATGGTTTCACACTTACAAGTATCTGGTCCCTGTAATTATCAATTCGGGACATTGCCATACGCACTTTGTCCTGAACTTTAGCAAGCAGAGATGAGTTCTAATCAAAACGGTACCAGTATCAGTTTGATTATTGTCAATCTTTCCTTTCCCCTGAGTGCAGTGTGTCAGCCAGATCCCTTTGGTCACTTCTAGTCCGGCCATTCTCTCCACACGGCAGTGATCTATTTGCGTTTCCACATTGTTCACTTCCTCCCAAAGGTCCTGACCACATCTCGCTTGTCATTTTTCGTCACCACTCAGTGGTGCAGCAGCATCCAATCTGTCTGCTTATTCGTTTCCCAACACACCAGCATCCAATCTGTCTGCCTATTCGTTTCCCAACACACCAGCATCCAATCTGTCTGCCTATTCGTTTCCCAACACACCAGCATCCAATCTGTCTGCCTATTCTTTTCCCAACACACCAGCATCCAATCTGTCTACCTATTCGTTTCCCAACATACCAGCATCCAATCTGTCTGCCTATTCGTTTCCCAACATACCAGCATCCAATCTGTCTGCTTATTCGTTTCCCAACACACCAGCGTCCAATCTGTCTGCCTATTCGTTTCCCAACACACCAGCGTCCAATCTGTCTGCCTATTCGTTTCCAAACACACCAGCGTCCAATCTGTCTGCCTATTCGTTTCCCAACACACCAGCATCCAATCTGTCTGCCTATTCGTTTCCCAACACACCAGCATCCAATCTGTCTGCCTATTCGTTTCCCAACACACCAGCATCCAATCTGTCTGCCAATTCGTTTCCCAAAACACCAGCATCCAATCTGTCTGCCTATTAGTTTCCCAACACACCAGCGCCCTCTGAATAATAGCTTTTAATGAGGTACTGAATAGGTTTGTCAGGTCTTTATGAGAAGGAAAGACAGCGAGGAATGAAAGAGGTTACCCAACTTTATTATACGCTGACCCAGAATACGTGAAGATCAAACACTTCACACAAAATGACCTTTTCTGCGTTTCGACATTTATATACTTATCATCCTTCGTATTCAACGGCATTGATATGATGTGGTTATTTATTTATATCAGTTAACATAGCTGGCACATAAAGATAACATAAACATCAATGCAAAGTAACTCAGATTGTCTTAAATCGATCAGATGCTAATTTTTGTCACACTGCTGTCAACGCCCATGAAAATCAGGCAGCTTCTAATGCTGTTATCACTGAGTTATCATTCCACAGGCGAACACGGGGCGGAGCGCTTTTGATTGGTAATGTCCAGAACAGAGGCACCGGAAAATTGGGTGGGTGGGTGGGTGGGAGGAGGGGAGGGGGGGGGGTATTGTGCACACTGAGCCCCTCACTACCCCCCTCCCGCCCACATAGATTTGAGATTGAGTTCCAGTCTTTCCTCCACCCCTGACCTAGAAAATATCAAAGTGCTAAGTGGTTCCATATAAAACAGAGGTATTCTCTCTTCAAGTATTTGTTCACACATTTCACATTTTCGTTGAAGGCCTATCCTTCACTGGGGATTAAAGGCAACAGAAGAAAAAAGAAGAAGCAGAACAAGAAAAAAAGCAAAAGAACAAGAAGAACAAGAACTCCTAGTTAGACAGTCCTAATTTGGTACTATATAATTTCCAAGAAAGTAAATGCCGCTAAAATTAAATTGACAATTTTGAATGACGATTGTTCAGTGAAAATATGGGCATAGTTTCCATAAGCAATCGAGTTGTTTGGAAAAAGGGGGCGGGCGTGGGGTGTATTGAGCCACATTGAAGACACCCCCCTCCCACTTTTCCCTCCCCCAAGAAAAAGCCATTCTCTTTTTAAGCATTTTGATAATACCTTCCATATTATTTGAAATATATTTTTATATTTATTTGACATTCAGCACATAATGATAAAATTGATGATAATAATTATAATAATAACTGTAATAATAACAGTAATAATAAATAAATAATTAGTGCATAATGCTCACCTGCGGATTTGAAGGTCGTAGATTTGGGTCCTCACAGAGTAGGACCTTTTAAAAAAAAAATTCTAAATGACTGCCTCCCAGGTCGATGCAGACTCACATGGGTACCAGGTAAAGTCATGGAAGTAAAGTCAGCCAGTGTGATGTTGAAATATACACGGATAAGGGTTCTTTGCTAATAGTTATTGAGCTTTAAACAAGGTTTAAGCTCCTTGACATCCCCCTAAGAAATTACAATGTTGTCTTCGTTTAGGCTCTCCTGTTTGTTTTAGTATCCAGAAGCCATGAGTTGTTAACCCTTAGGCTCGGTATTATGGATATCGCAATTTTTGGGCCTTGATTCCATTGTAAATACCGTAAATCTGGGAGAAATGTGGCTTTTCTGCCTACCCCCGGGAGTGAGCCCGGACCACAAAGAGTTCGTCACCCGGTCAACGCGCAATCCGGTTTAGCAAACTACGCTAGAGAGCCGGTCGCTCCGGAGGGCGCTTATATTGCCGATGCCAAAGTGGGGTAAAAAGGGTTTCTATAATTTGCTGCTAACTTAATTAAAGCTCTGGTGTATGCCAAATTTAGTATAGGTTATTGAAAAAAAAAGTTGTTATCCTATAAAGAGCAAATGTTTGCTACCATTTAGCTTTCTGTTTGGACAGTATTAGCTTCACGAAACATTATCCTTAGCCGATTCAATGTTTTACAAGTGAAATCGGCCGTGCTAATTCTTTCACATCCGGTTCCACTTTCCAGCTTGTGTGCGAATGAATTACAAATTAACGGATTTGTGAGAAAATGAAAGCTGATATTTATTTCAGTTTCCTTATGGCAACTTAACTGTGTTCTGGCGGCCTTATTCTTCATTTGTAGTGCATATTTAGTTATATCGTGGATGATGAGATATCTGTGAATATGTGTGTGTGTGTGTGTGTGTGTGGATAATGGGAAATCTATCTGTGTGTGTGTGTGGGTGTATGTGTGTGGATAATGGGATATCTGTGAATATGTGTGTGTGGATAATGGGATATCTGTGAATGTGTGTGTGGTGTGGATAATAGAATATCTGTGAATATGTGTGTGTAACTGTGCGTATATGTGATCTCTCTCTCTCTCTCTCTCTCTCTCTCTCTCTCTCTCTGCCTCTCTCTCTCTCCATCTCTATCTTTTTTTCTCTCCTTTTCTGATTCCATTCAGAAGCATGTGGATTTCATTACCAGGACATTCGGGTTTGCCGGATACTTAGCAGGTGTTCGAAATGCTGTTGCTCTTCCTCTGAGCGGTGAGCTATTTTATGATACAGCGGACGTGGTGATTGGCTGTCTGGGATCAGGTCTAACAGTTTATCAGAACAGACATAGTATCTATACCTCGAAAGATAGTTCAGTTAGGGCAACACAGGCTGACTTTTAATCAAGTTGCAACTGGTTCATGTCGGCTATCTGTAGACTACCGAGGAAGGAGACAGAGTACGTTTGAGAACGTTCAGAGTGCAGTTATGCCAATTTATTCACTTATTTAGTTATTCATTTATTCAGTCATTCATGCATTCATTCAGAGAATGATGCACCTGGGTGTGGCCAGAGGGTCTGACCGGCTCACTACACTCAGAGGTAAGGGAAGGCGGACACATAACCACACTACGACGGGTACCATTAATATTGGAACGCTTGGCTGGATGCTGGAGATGGGGGCGGAGCGCATATGGGAATGCCCCGAGTACTGTGATGTCAATTCTTGACTCAACTCAACTCATTCATTCATTCATTCATTCATTCATTCATTCATTCATTCATTCATTCATTCATTCATTCATTCATTCATTCATTCATTCATTCTCTTTGTGTTAGTCTGTGTGTTTGTGCGTGCTGGAGAGTTCTGGTTATGTGGCTACGTAGACAAATAAGAGATACATCAAAGCAGGATAAGAAAAGGGCAACACATTAAGAAGTATAACAAAATCTGGGACGGATGAGAACGTTAAGCAGTCAGTCGATCATGTGAGGCGTGATGCTGACCACATTACCCATTTTGTGCCGATTGGTCTATAAAAATATAGGTCTAACCCTATATGCCCTATACGCCTAAAGGCATGGAAAAGGTCTTTTACTTTACTTTTTTTAACGATCCATGCATGATCCATGATTTGGCTTCTCCATGATAAAGACTAGTTGCCACGGATGGCTAACAATCTACATCTCTCGTCATAGGTCTACATACTTCCAGACTGAAGTTTCTGCATAAGTTAATATTTTCTTTCCTGTTATTGCGCTGACTAACTCTTATCTTTAACGCTTTCAAGTTCCCCAATTTAACTTGAGAGCAGAGCATGGATTTTACTGTACTAAGTTCTATTTTATGTAGCCCAGTCTCTCTCTCGCAGAACGGCTTGCTCGAACTCCGTAACTCCAACGATGATCCACAGGGATCCCCCTAAAATTGCACTCGTGTCCTTAACGAGACAAACGGCTTGACGACTTTGCCATGCAGAACCCTAGTAAAGTATAACTATCTACTTCTCTCTATTAATTCAAAAAACATTACATAATATTTGACAGCCTCCTCCTTCCAGTTTGATCATAATGTACATTGTGCATTTGGCTTCTTTCAAAGATAACCCATTTTGTCTCTCCATTAGCTGCTTCCCTTAACAATCTGATGATAAGCACTCCAGTACTAAAAAAGTTATCTTTTCTCCCCAGCATAGTTCATCTAAGAGTAAACGTTGCTGATTCTATCCGCTAAGCTTGTGGGGCAAAACTTGAGCATGATAGTCTATCAGAAAATTTGTCCTAAAGTTGAAGGCAACGTTTTAACCAAAAATATAAAACGCGACCGTAAGACATCACTTACTTTTCCAGGAAGGCTTATTGGATCCGTAAATAGCCGAAGAAGTCGCATCTGTCAGACAGAACGCGTAAATATCGCCGCTCTGTTGTTAACGAGCACGATGTAGTCAAGAAGAAGAAGAAGCAGAAAGAAGAAGAAGAAGAAGCAAAAGAAGAAGAAGAAGAAGAAGAAGAAGAAGAAGAAGAAGAAGAAGAAGAAGAAGAAGAAGAAAAAGAATAAGGCGATTATGATGAAGAAGAAGAAGAAGGAGAAGAAGAAGAAGAAGAAGAAGAAGAAGAAGAAGAAGAAGAAGAAGAAGAAGAAGAAGAAGAAGAAGAAGAAGAAGAAGAAAAAGACGATTATGAAAAAGAAGAAGAAAAATAATAATAATAATAATAAGAAGAAGCAGAAGCAGAGGAAGAAGAAGAAGAAGGAGAAGAACAAGAACAAGAAGAACAAAAAGAATTGAAAAACATGTCTTTTTCTGGAATATAGATTTAATCTCCTATGATAGCTTTCCATCTGGAAGCCCAGTTCCCTCCAATTTTCATATGTATGTGAAGTTTAAAGTGTCTTTCGAATGTTAGAAGCTATAACATTTTATAAAATTAACGACAATAAAATATAAATTATGAATACTTCTCAGACGTTTATAGATCATTTCAGAAATATCTTTTTTTGCAAATTCTCACATAAATGTCTGTCACTCCTAGCAAGTCACATTTTTCCTACTCTATTTCAATGCTGGCATTGTGACTACCTTGACATTTGTGTTGGCACTTCCTTTATCTGTTCTGGCATTTTATAGTCATTGATTTTTTATTGGTAGATTTCGCAAGTGACGTAGATGGAAAAGTTGCCAGTGTTGTAAAGAATTATGGCTGTTTATTCAATTGTTTAGTTTCTGTGTAAAGTTATGGAAGTTAAAGGTTACAGTTTTTAAACAAAACGAAGCCTCCATTTTAAACAAAGTTAGAGAGCTGAGTTCTCTCGAAGCTATGAAAAAATGAGGTCACGAGCTGTGCAGGTCTGGATTTTGATTTTTTGATTCCAAAAAGAAAGAATATTTCTATCACTTGATTCAGCATTCAAACCCGCGTCTACCAAATGAGATCTAAACCGACTAGGCCAGCGGTGAATCATTTTACAGAAACTACTAAATTGATTATTACTTGAACAAAAGGTCATGATTATAAACAAATACATTCTCCTTACTTGAGTGTCTGAAATTCCCAGAAAAAGCCAAACACTGCCTTTTATTTAAAAAAGAAAACAAATCAAATACTTTGATGCAACTCGTGATAGCCGTAAAACTAATCGAAAGCCATCATATCATGTGTTGTTTTTTAATGCTGTTTTAAACAGTATTAGATCATAGCGATAATGTTTTCAAAGAATTTATTAAGGAAAAAATATGCAAATATCGTATGCTGTACTGGCATCTTGGATACTTTGTAACGTGGTGATGCTGTTCAAATGTTTCCCTTATCAATGATCTTATTATCAAGAAGTGTATGCTGGATAACAGTCTCTTAAAGTTAAATAATAACATCACAGAAAACACCCTTTGTTTTCTTTAGTAGACTGAGTATTTCAAGCGGAGAAAACATACAGTAATCTCTTGTTAGTGTTTTTCCAGATTTATTCTATTTAACTTTCCTTTATTATTATATTGCTGTTGCATTTGTTGAATGCCTTCGAAAACACAT